AGATTCAGTTTCATACCTTTGGAGTGGGGTTTCTCGTTGAGTTAGTATTTTGTCTAGATTTTGTTGTGTATCTGAGTCATCCTGGTTTGATTCTTCAAGCATATATTGTCTGACATTTGTTCAAGTGTCTGACCTCGTTGGCAGATCCTTTATCCGCTTATCACTTTGCTGAATGAACTAAGAGCTTGGCAGCATTTTAATAATGTAAGATGCAAGATTTGTCAATTACTGAACTTCTTGTGATAATTCTCTTGAAGGAGGTTCAGATACATTTCCAGATGTTTCTGATGTGTTTAGTAATTGTTGTATGATGGTAGTACATCTCCAATTTTTTTATGTATGGAACAAAGATGCTAATGGTTGAAAAAATAACTTTTACAATAGATCTTTTGGTTAACAGTTCCATTATCTTGAAAAGTACTTTCAATCATGTACAAACATTGCAAAGTTACTAGTCTTCTTTCAGGAGATGTTGATTAGAAAACAAGTAAATAAGTCATTATCTGTATATAGATCTTCTTTGCATTAGTGGCAACAGAATTTCTTCCAATTCTTAGGAGTACTATGTTTTAGACATATGACTATCTTTCTGACCAGCAGATAAAATCCTTCAGGTATGAGTATAGATGGGCTGATGGTGTACAGATCAAGAAACCTATTGAAGTTTCAGCGCCAAAGTATGTTGAGTACCTCATGGACTGGATTGAATCTCAGTTGGATGATGAGTCCCTATTTCCTCAAAAGCTTGGTAGTAACTTCTCATTAGTTTTAAAGCTTCATGCTAATTCAAAATTGAGATAGGGAAGGTATCCACTCTTTATTTGTCAGGTGCAATAATTATCTGTCTGACCTCGGTTTATTACTTTTTATTTTTTAATGTTATAGGTGCACCATTTCCTGCCAACTTCAAGGATGTGGTGAAGACAATATTCAAACGCCTGTTCCGTGTATATGCACATATTTATCACTCTCATTTTCAGAAGATTGTGAGTCTTAAGGAGGAGGCGCATCTAAATACTTGCTTCAAACATTTCATTCTTTTTACTCATGTAAGTACATATTGCTCTTGGAATCTTAGTCAAATCCATGGATATTGAGGAAATTGTGCCTCTCTTAAAGCTCCTAAGAAATTGTGTCATTAGTCCATCCTTGCGCGATTTTGTACCTTTTTAGCCATCTTGCTTTCTTTTTTCCTTTGGCTTTGAGTTTATTTGCTTTTCACTATCTTATTTTTACTTTTGCTATCCGGATTAATGAAATTGTTTCAAATTTTGCTGTCACTCCTTGATTTCATATGCATTGCCCAAACTATATAGTGAACTTTGATAATGAAGCCTCTATCCGTGCATCTATACATCTGTTATGAGACAACTGTCAGCTCTGGTTAAGTTATTGTGATGAAATAATTGAACTGGGCATGAAGATGGAACTTCCTTTGGCCGTCAAAGAGTTTACTCTGGGAGACTATCTATGATTGAAGTTAATCTTGGAGACAGTCTATGACTATCCTTAAGAAACTATGTTCAGATGGTTGTTTTAATTGTCACTTTTTATATAATCAAATTTATTTTACTGATGATATTTTCTTCCTTCTGTGTCCTTTTTCTTTTTAACTGCTTAATTCCTTGCAACTTACTGAAAAATAGTCTCCAAGCTCTTGGGGCGTACAATATGTATAGTTCTTGCTTCAAACAAGTGGTGAAGTTGGATATAAATACTTAGGCAGCGTATTGGCATTTGATTCGGAGTAACGTACAGAGTCCTATTATGGGATAAAGATGGTGGAAACAGGATTTCCTTGATTATTGTTTTAAATTCTTGAAACGTTGTAGTTACCTAGCTATGCCATTGCATCCGTACTTTTTCTGAGATATACTTTTTCTACATTTTCGGCTGAATCATAGTGTTTGTTCTAATTTAAGTGATTGTCAAATAGCGAAGTTTTGTTTTTCCCTGCATCAATTCACTTAATCCTATTGTCGCACATTTATAATAGAAGGTTTTGTTGATGAGGTCTTCTCTGGTATGCAGGAATTTCAGCTGATTGACAAGAAGGAGCTGGCTCCTCTTCATGAGCTTATAGAGTCCATTATTGTCCCTTACTGAACATTTTTTACATTTTGTCTGTTAAGCTGACTTTGCTTATGGAAACAGTGATACTTCTATGTTGAGAATGTGAAATAGTGTTGTCTTAATACATAATGAGAAGTGTCCCTTACAGAACATTTTTTACATTTTGTCTGTTAAACTGACTTTGCTTATGGAAACAATAATACTTTTATGTTGAGAATGTGAAATAGTGTTGTGTTAATATATAATGAGAATTGGGTATCTGCTGTATTATTTTAATTTCTGTCGGATTATTTCCATGCAAATTTATTCTTTCGGATTGTGAAGAGGGATTTAGAGCTACTAGATGTCCTTTTATCTTAATATACACAAATGTCTCGTGAATTTCCCTAGAAAATGGATGGTTGTGTAATAGTTCTATTTGCTAGAAGAGGGGACAATTAGAAGAAGTCCTCGGGGCTGTTGGGCAGTAGATTTTATTTCTGCAATTGTCTGTCCTGTACATCCAAAACCTCAGCTACCTGCACATTTTTCATGTGAGCTTACACTCCATTTTCTGATCTAGAAATCATTTTCATGAAGGATGTGGTAATGAATGGTTCTTGCTTTGATACTCTCCCTGAATCAGTTTGAGCAAGATGCATAACAACTGAATTGATGTATCAAGATGAGCAGTTGATGGTTTATTACATGGTCCATTAGGAAAACTCATGACATCTTGACTAGGATCCTCTCCAAATGGGGTTTTTTTTGAGAGAATTGGAGGATCTTCCATTCATACTTTCCTCTTTGAAGTGAGTCATACCTTGCTGGCTAAACATCAAAACAGCATCTGCCATGTTACTTTCTTGCTTCACTCAACACTGGTTACCTTCTTCCATCTTGTCTAAATTGTACATTCTCAAACCTTACCATTTCTATGCAAGGTTCTATCCTACTATTACCCTGCCTTATCTTTACAGTCTGTAAAGAAAATACCATCAACTTTCCCACTAGGATAAAAGTGTACCAACAACAGTTCCCAAGATCTAACCCAACTTCGTTGGTAGGTATATTAGCCAGTTGATCGTGAGGTTATCACAGTGTGATTCGATTCTCAAGTCCTCTCCTTTTTCTTTCACAGTGATTCGATTTTCAAGTTATTTTCTCTCACTTTTACCTACAAGATTTATAATCTTTAAAAACAAATCAGTAAGGTACAAAGTGTATAAAATTTGCACGAGTGACACCCTCATATTAGATCTTAGCCCAAATTGCACATTAATGACAACCAAGTAAGCCCATCCCACTCAAATTGCAGGCAGGCATGAGTGCAAAAGCAAGAGTTTTGGGCCTGTCTAGCATCTAAGCTCAATTTTCTCCTGCTGTCACAATTCCTCTTTTATGTCCAAGTCCTATTCCTTTTAATTTCGTTGTCTTTTTCATGTTCAATCTAAAGTAGTAATAAATTCTAATAACTTTCATTAACTTTCATAAAAGAGAAAAAGGCAGCAAAAAAAAAAAAAAAGAACCCTCATCATTTGTTCATTAAAGAATCTTGATTTATCTTTCCTGAATGGAATTTTCCTCACCATTCTTCTCATAAAATAATTCGACAACATGTGAGAATTGAGAACTTTCATTGTCATGACTCATGAGCTGATGGGTAGATGGAATTTTGCTGCATCATCTGTCCTTTTCACCCTTTTACCTTATCAGAGAAAAACAGAAGTATCACTTCAAAATTTACCATGCAAAAGACAGAGGTATATATAGCTAAAAGGAAAAAGGAGATTTGTAGGGATAAACTTCATGCCAAAGTTTGCCATTGCACTGCTGCCATAATACAGTCACATGAGGTATCTAACATCATTTGCCTTTGGTCACAACAAGACATAATGTACTGCCTCCTCTGACCACTCAAGCCAACCCCCTTTGCCCCCACCTCTGACCACTTTCTTACATCACCCACTGCTCCCTCTAATCTCAACATCCTTACCATACCTAAACCTTTTTCATTAACATCCTAAATCTCTTTCCATTCCTTTTCTTTTCCCTATTCTTCCTTCCAAAAATTGTTCTTTTTCTTCTACCATATAATTTTGTTCATTTTTCAAAACTCAGCAATTTGACAAAAAAAAAAGGAGGAGAAAAAGATCATATGGACAAAACCTTACCCTTTTCCTCCTCCTATATATATGTCTTTTTTTTTTTTTTTTACTTTTTGAGTTATTATTCAACTCTGTCGTACGTATGCTTTTGCTGTTGAATTACAAGCAAAAATTTCCTCATTTTTTAATAACTAGTAATGAATCACCGAGCTATTTTTAATTTTCCAGGTTACTTTGTCAATTAGCATTTATGTTTGTGGTACATGGACTATTTTGACCTTGTTATTCAATGTACTAGTACTAGTTTTTCAAACAAGTGAATTCTTGTCTGAATTTTAACAATAAAAAATCTCCACAATTTTATTCATTGCTTTAAGACTAAAGGGCAAGAAATAGGTGCCTCTAAACATTTTTAATAAACTCAACCCTCATTATGAAGTTATATCTTAAAAGAGAAAAAAAAACAGAAGAAAAAACCAGTGAGGCTGAGAGTTTCTTTTGAACAGTATCATCTTCCTTATGAGTTAAAAGACAACTGTAGAGACTCTAAACACAATCAGAACTTATCATTAAGCCAAAAGACAAAGAATAAACCACTGTTACTACAACAGAAAAGAGAAATCTTGCCACAGAACTTAAACAAATATGTCAGCTCAAATTGTACTTAACAAACAACAAAAGCCAGCAACAATCCTTTCCCCTCACTCCTACTCAGTACTCACACGCACACACACACACTACACATACTGCACACACTGCAAACGCTCAAACACACTGCTCTGCTGCTGTGAGAGAGAGACAGAGAGAGAGAGACTTGCTGTCTTGCAAAATCCCTTTCATAACTCACAGTTTTTTGTATGAGTGTTTCGATAAATGGACTCTGCGAAGACACTTCAAAAGCCGGCAACTTTTGAAGTGCTCCGCAGCACTTAACTACTAAACCCCCCAAACCCCCCCAAGACTTGCTGTCTTGCAAAATCCTCTCCTTTACTTTTTGGGGTTTTCCCTCAGCTTTTCAGTTTTCCCCTCTCTCTCAATCTCTATCTACTGTACCCACCATGTTTGCCCAAACCCTAGATCTGTCCCCCTTCTAGGTAACCCCCCAGCCACACACAACACACACTTCCACACCTTCATCGACACACACTGCTGCTTTCTCCTTCTCTCTCTTTATATGTAAATTATTCACTATTTTTTTTAATCTTTCTTATTGCAGGTAGCTTTTTTTCTTACTTGGGAAGTTAAATAAAGCAAAAAGAAGAAAAGGGTCTTCATTTTTTCGCCTTTTTTTGTTTTTTGGGGGTAGGGGGAGGTGGGGGGATGAGTGGGACGTCATCGACGTCGGTGGTGACGGTGGCTTCTGCAGGAGGGGGAGGGGTGGGGGAGGGGGTGGGGGTTGGTGCGGGTGGAGGGTGTTATTATCGGCCACCGTTCACGGCGGTGCAGTGGCAGGAGCTGGAGCATCAAGCTATGATATACAAGTATTTAAATGCTGGCTTACCTGTTCCTCCAGAGCTTGTTGTCCCTATCCGCCGCAGCTTTGAAGCCCTTTCTTCTCGCTTCTTCCATCATCCTAGTTGTATGTTTACACTGCATGTTCATCAACTTCTCTATATTTTTGTGCGTGTACATGAGGTAGTGTGTGTATATATTTGCAGCTAGCTAGCTAGCTAGTTAGCTCCGGCGATGAGGTGGCGGTGGCTGCAGCATCTAATGCTAAGGGTTTGAACTTGATTTGTAGGTGGATTAATGAAATGGGGTCTTTTTTATTTTTATGTGTTTTTGGGTGTTGGAGTTTTGTTCCTTCTCTTATGCTTACTGAATATGTTTAAGGTTTTCTTGTAGTAGTGACTGAATTTATGAATTTTTTTTTCTTTGTGGAATGAAGTATCCTATAACTTTTAGTTGGGTGAAAAGCTTAAGTTTTGACATAACCTGAACAATGTGCTGTATATCACTTCTTTCTCTTGAAGGAATGGTATGAGATCTTTGCGAATCTTTACATGCCTCTGTTTCTTTAGTTTTGTGAGTTTGGGTATCAGGAATGAGTTCATTTGTACTGGACGTGAATTTTGTTTGTGGATAATCTGAAACGAGTAGGGTGCATAATCAGGGATTATTTTGATTTTGTTTACTATCGTGGAGATTTTTTTTGGGTTAGGCTTATTGGAATGAACATCTAGATTATCTTTTTGATTGCGGTGCAATTTGGTAGCACACACTTCGTTTTATGTTTTCTTTCTTATCTTTTAATATAGTGGGATGATTTCAGGTATGCAGGGTTCAGGTTGTATGTTTGTGTATTCTGCAAAATTGTTAAACTGAGCATGCCCTTTCTTCCCGAGAATTGCTTTTGATAGTGGCGCTTGGCCTACTTTAATGTGGTCTTGCTTATAGGTTAGAATTTCAATTCCTTTCTGCTATTTGCTTTCAAATCTTAATCTTAGATTGTTATGTGCAGTGGGCTATTGCTCCTACTATGGGAAGAAATTTGACCCAGAGCCAGGTAGGTGCAGGAGGACAGATGGGAAGAAATGGAGGTGTTCTAAAGATGCTTATCCGGACTCCAAGTATTGTGAGCGGCACATGCATCGAGGCCGCAACCGTTCAAGAAAGCCTGTGGAATCTCATTCTGCTTCGCAGTCCTTGTCAACTGCGATGCCACACATGGCTGCTGGCAGCAGCAGCAGCAGTGGAATCTTCCAAAATAGTGGAACTGGAAGCTTCCACAATATGCCCATGTATTCTGTTGCTAACTCGGAGGGTCTGTATTCCGGAAGCAATGTAACAAAGTTTCAGCTTGAGCCTGTGTCATATGGGGGTGATAATAAAGAATATAGGTAACTTGGTGATGCATTGCTTTGTACTCATGATAGTCTTTATTATATAGGTTACTCCATTCTTTGGGTATGTTAATCTCTGGAAATGGCAGTAATCATTGCTTTCTGAACCTATGAGGATCTTTGTTTGCTGAAATGCAACTTATTATTGTGCTGTGTTTTGCTGTCAATATAAATAATATACAAATGTATACGTCAATATGGGTGATTCTTCTGGGTTGAGATGGAGAGGAGATGCAGGATAATTGAACTTGGTAATCTCTTTAATTGCTCCGGATTGTTTTGTTGTCCCATCTCACATGTTGCTTAGATAGTTTTCTCTTAGAACTATTGAAGCTAGCCTTTGAGATGGGCTGAGAAAGATGATAAATATTATTTCAAGATACATATCCTTAACCTACCTGCATAACTTCACCACAGTATTACATTTCATCCTGTCACTAAGCTGCAAGATGCTAAACTTCAGCAGAGTACCGCATTTCATCGTATAACTGAGCTGCAAGATCCAATTATATCAAAATCTGTAATTGGATATCAACTTATCGTCTTAACAGGAAAAAATTTTAAGTGTTGTTTTTAGTTAGTTTGGTCTAATTATTGTAAGATATGTATAACTTAAAATGCAGGAAAGGAGAAGAATAAGGAAATGGAAAGGAGAAGAGTGGCTTATATTGATGCATTCAATGCATTTGGCTCCATCACCAAAAGAAATTTTGCTACTCTTTTGGCGGAACATAATGTTTTCTGATATTTAACTGAAAGAACAAAGGAGACAGTTTTGTATTGTTGGGCAACATCTCATTTAGACATTTGCATGCATCTTTTAGTTATGCTTGTGGTTGGTAAAATTGATTAAAAAAGCCTACTAGGTGCACTGATCCTTGAATGAGTTAAGTGGATTACATTTTTCCTTTGCTAGGGCTACGCTTTAATTTTTTTAATTATTATTTTATTATTATTATAATTTTTTTATGGTTCAAATTTGATATATAGATCATTTTGGTAAAAAGTGAAGCTACCGATTTTGGCTGTACATCATGCGCTTGAACTTTATAGTCCATGCAACAACATTTGGTGGAAAAAATAATTCTGTGGGATTGATGTCTCATTAGGTTGCTTGGTCAAAGTGCTACTTTTACAGAGATGTTTTTGTTCCTTGTATCAGTTAGGAGTACAACAAGGGACGTAGGAATCAGTTAGAAGTACAGCAAGGGAGGTACTTGAATATGATAATAAATACTCCCCAATAGCACACCTATGCTAGAAAGGTTTACTAGTGATAGATTTGAGAGGAATTGATTTGGGGACAGTTCCCTTGAATGCTTTGGATGGATGGATGGATGGATGGGTACTTTTGGTAAATTTATCTCGGGTCTTTATGCAGAATTGACTTAAAACTGTTTAATTCTTTTTGTTGGTCCTGTCTCTTGCAACTGAATTGAGTTGAGCAAACTTTTGTCTGAAGTAGGATGAATGACTAGAGAGATGTTCCGTTGCAGGTATATCCATGGACTGACTCCTGATGCAGATCAGCATAATTTCTCTCCAGAAGCTTCCGGAAGTGTGGGAAGTCTTGGAGTAGGATCTGATGTAGGTAATACATGGCGTCTACTTCCATCCCAAGTTCCATCGAGCCCCATGCTGAAATCTAAAAGTGATGCACATACACTGGGTCACTCCTCCGATCTGCATATTGCTCATGCTTTTGATCCCATGATGGATGCTAGACTGTCGAAACAGCGGCAGCAACATTGCTTCTTTGGCAGTGAGATTGGTTCCCCTGGGCCAGGAAAGCAGGAGCCGCATTCTATGCGTCCTTTCTTCGATGAGTGGCCTACGACTAAAGAATCGTGGTCCAATCTCGATGATGCTGGATCAAACAAGAGTACATTTTCTACAACCCAACTATCTATATCCATTCCTATGGCTCACGCTGAATTTTCTTCAAAGAATTCTCGTTCCCCAGATGGTGAGGAATTCTCTTCTTGGACAAAACATGACCTGCCACGTCTATGATTCCTTACTGAAGTCTTGTATCGTTCTGATCATGCAAATTCTTAGAACTCCCTTTATTTGTGTTGCTCGCAGATGCTTGAGGAAGCTGTCTCTCAGAATAACTCCAATCAACTGATGATGATGATGTTTTTTGTGTACTATTTACTTGGTTTATGGTTCAACACCTTTGTCTTGCGTTGACTTCATGTCACCCCTTTGGTTGGCTACCGACATTCTCTGAAAAGGAAAGTAGGTTTGTTGTAAAATGAAATACATGCAAAGTTTCGGATCCAGAATAAAAGCATTTTATGGCAGTTTTTTCCCAGAATGTGTTTCATTCCTTCAGTTCCTGTTTTGCTGGTTATTTGCCAAAATTATTAGCAAAAGGCCAAACGTGTTGGCACTGATCTTGAAATGTCAGGTCCAGTCTTGAGCAGCAAATCATAACATGCAACTGCTAAATTTGATTAGTACAGTGTTTCTTGATGTACCGTTCTCTTTTTTTTTTTTTTCTAGTTTCAATGAAATTCTTTCCCAGCTACTAGCGTCAGTACTTGCATTTTTTCACTTCTTTATCTTCTTCAAAGATACTGAAGATTACCAAACCCGATTACTTCTGTCAGGTATCTAATCCAATTGGATTCTATTTAGAATCTAAAACTATTGATCCATTTTATAACATTGAAATCGGGCAATAGTAACATAGCCCCATCGCCCCAATTTGACTAAAAAATAAAGAAATAGGGTGAAAGTCAAATAGGATTCTTCAAAATCTACATACTATGACTAGCAATGTGGTAAAAGAAATTCCCAGCATCTCGTAGAAAAAGTATAAACAAGCAACCGCAAGTCTAGAAATTCATTTCGGCCAATTGAATCTTCTCGAACTATGGTCTTCCAACATAAGGGTGGAGTACACAAGGCTACGTTGAACCAAGAAAAGAAAAACATTATAAGTAAAATATTCACTTGAAAAAACAAGCATGAACTATTCATCATGTGACTAGTTTTTTATTTTTCTCCTAATGTACCAAGGTGTTTCGTTTATATGGTTGCCTCCCAGCAATACCCTCCACTTCTTTGAAAAAAATTCTCCTGTCTTTTTCATGAACCTAACGAGCAGTAAGATAACTAGTGCAGCAGACCGATAAAGTTCTTTTTGATATTCAGGAGACAATAGTCACTCAAATTATACTAGTATGATGTTTTGTGATAGAACCGTAATTGTGAAGAATATACTAATCAATAATAGATAAATTTCATCGATCCTGCATTGAGCCCTTGTTGTAAATTAGAGACTCACGGGACAAGAAATAGAGCCCTCATGTCTCTGTATCATAAGTTCACAAGTGCACTTTTAGACTTGTCGTGAAATAAGTACTGAAAGTGTTATGAAAGATCAAAAAATGAAAACTGCCAAGAAGAAGTGTTCTTGGATGAGAACGTCTAATCTGCAATGACAATGATACAAAACATACCACACTCTTTGGGGTCTCTGTCATTCTTTTGAACCTGCAAGTTTAGGATTGATTTTCAATATTCTGAATTTGTTAACAGAAAATAAACATCTGAATAGCTGTAGTGAATGAGCAGTTTGCCATGTAAGAGTATTTGCATGACATTGCTGGAGCATGTCCAGAATTAGCATTTTAGTAGTTTACCACATGCTGGAAAATAGAATGGCCTTCGAATACCTATAGCTTGAGCGGCTTTGTCTCGTGTCTGGTGAGTGCAGGGTGGAGCTACAGTTGGGGCGATTGCCCCACTGACCCCATTGGAGTATCTTAAAATGGTAACATATATAAAATTTTCTGAAGGTTTATGTCTAATTTTCCCCGCTGCCTACTCATCCAGTCAGGCTACAGAGACTTTCAAGTATATCAGTGGGAGGAAGGATCATTCGGAACCAAAGAAGTCTACTCACGTCCCAGTGAACCATGATCTTCTTTAGTCTCATGGTATAAACACGTTATGGAAGGGAGGGTCATTTACTCAAGTATTGCCTTTTTATTGGAAATTTTAGGAAAAAAAAAAGTTTGTGGGTTTTAGTAGTGTTTCAAAATTATAGAAGTCGGAGGTTTAATAGTCATCACATTACTAGCAAAAGTTGCTTGACTAGAGTTATTCAGCATATCATTCATTCTTAAGCTTATATGGCATGCCAAAAAAGGGGACAGGGGGAAGAGATACAACATGTATAATCGTAGAAAATCTTGAATAAAAATGAAAAGAAAGAGGATTGTAGAAATTTAGTTAAACCAGAAGCAATAGATAATGATCCCCTTAGTCAAAATAGAAGTGCATGTTATAAAACCAATTTACTAAGGTTCAAGTGAAAAGTTGATTTTCTAGTTAGTGAATATAACTGTAACATACACAGTCATCACAGGTTATACAAAAACTCAAGTTGACAAGAACAACACACCTTTGTGCGGAGGAAAGAAGTGACTCCTGATTCTTTGTAGCTCGTTCATCATAGGTGTTGAGCTGGAAAAAATTGCGTTTTTCACATTAGAAATGTCCAACATGTTCTCTAAAGGATTTCTGATTCCAAACCCTGGCAACATTTGACTTCCTTTCTGTTGCAATCCAGGGATAGTTCCTCTTAAGTTGGACCAACCATCCCCTGCAACATTTTTCATGCTACGTACACTATTTGATTCAGCAATCCCCAAAGCACCAGTTCTAGCGGCCACAAAAGCTACAGAAACAAATAATCAGATGGTAACTATGGCATTCAACAAGTCTGAAGTCCGTTATCATAAACAACAATTAAGCATCATTTTCTCACAACCCAACAGAGAAGAATGACATCTAACCATAGAGTATCAGCTTGGAAATGTCCAGTTGTATTATACCAATCAATTTAAATAGTAATACAAATACATAAAATATATATAGAGTGCTGATACAATTTACCATGGAGAAGCATCAGGAACCATTATAGGGTTACAAGTGCTCTCTCATACTCATAGTATCGAGGATCTATTTTCATCTGCTTCAGCTCTTTCCAAACATACTGTTGTAACTGCCATTCATAAAATTGAAGATGCTCTTTCAATTTTCATAGTATTCAAGAGCACAAAAGATGATTTGGGAAACAACTTTCTAGCAGCTTTACAGAATTTGTTTTTACACCGTAAATTAAGCTAAATGCAGCGCTGAGTTGCAAAAGAAAACACGTTAAACAGCTTCTAACTATCCAAAAAGCATCAATCAATTGTTCCAAGCATATCCGCAAAGACTTTAGCAGAACATAAACCAAATGCATTCCCACAAGGGACAGTAGTGCACTGCACCAGTGATACATATAAATGACTTTCATCAAAAAAATCGATTAAGGTACCGTTGTAAGGAAGTGTGTAGACATAATTAGCCGGAAGACCAATGCCGATACCGGCAAGAGTGATCCCAACACAAAATCCAGCACCACAACCAGCACCAACATAACCGATCACCTCAGGACCGAAACCAGGTCCCCATCCAACACCACAACCAATACCTAATCCCATGCCCCAAAAGGCTCCTAACGTTGGATGCACTGGATTCCACCGCTGATATCTTCTAAACAACCCCTTGATGATCATTTCCGCCTGCAATCACAACTATATCAAGAACCACCAAGAAAAAATACTGTAAAAAAGATTCTTTTTTTTCTTCAAGAAAAAACAGAAAACTCTCAGAAATAAGTGCAATATCACATTACCTTAAACAACAACCCAATGCAAAAAGACGAGAAAATATAGACTAGTTAAAAAAAAAAACAATTTTTTGAATTGGGATTTTAACTGCTTTTTCACTGAACCCACAATTAAAATCTTTTCTTTTTCACTTTCTCCTTCTTTTCACCTTATTTAAAGATGTGGGTTTGCATCACATTTTGCAGATTAAGGAAAAAATTTTGACATTGCAGAATCTCCAAATTCAATCAAATAGTAGTGTTCAAGTATTTGCTTTTAGCTCAACTTGAATTAAAGAAGCATAAAATGCAGGAAATTTACAGCATTAATGGAACTGAGAAAACAAAAATTGAACAAAGAATGGAAAATATTTGCATAAATTGAAATTTACCGCTAAAGAGTGGGGACCGAAGAAGTTGGAGAAGCGCCAGGAGCCAGTAGCTGTTGGAAGTTGGGACTTGGGGAGAAGTTTTGAAATGGATAAAATAATCGGGGATAAATTAGGAGAGGAACCGGGGCGGAGCTTGAGGCGGCCTTTAGCTTCATCTGTGATGGACAGTGTTGGACCCACTTCAAAATTCCAACAAAATACTTTAATCGAAAAATTGAAACATAAATTAAAAGAAGAAAAGTAAAAAAAAATGGACGAGGGAGAGAAATAAATGTGTTTTTTTTTTCTAATTTTTTTTTTAAGTAGATGAAGGGTAGGATTTAAGAAGCGAAAAGGGGGGAGGAATTAAACATACGGTACTGCTGTTGATTTTTTTATAAATAAAATGATTCTATACTATGCATTTCGTAATTAGATTATAGTTGTATTTGCTAATAATAAAATCTTTTTATTTAGTGAATCAATGTTACTTCTGAACATGCGTCATTCATACCATTCATCATAGTCTCTCTCGGGAGCGAATTTTTATGATTTTATTTGATTTATATACTAATATTGTATGCATTAGCACCCTTACATGCATATTGTATATATAAAAAATAAAATTCAAATTTACATTGAAATTACGTGACATGTATCTAATGCAATAGTATATAAGATTAATTACTTTTATCTTCACGTCTACTCATTTCGACTTTTTTTTTTTATCTAAATCATTTTCTAGAAAAGGAAAAATTAAAAAAGAAAGTTGTAAAAGTTGACATATTTTGATTTTTTGCCTATGATGCATCAATTTTAGAGGGGATGGAGATCCTTTTGAATTCCATAGTTGTTTAAGGAGTGGTTCCCAAATGTCCCTCCCCGTCACAACTGATTTCCTATCCATCACAAGGCAAGTTAGGTCCGCAAAAATGGTTTAAGGCTTTGGAATTACAACCTTTTTCTTCTTTAATTAGTTCCAGCGGTTTGACTACCATGCACACTTATACATGTACAAAGACGGGTAAAATATTTCAATGGCTCTCAAACTGTTACGAAATTTAACTTTTAACTCTATAATTATTAATTGATAAGTTACCCTTCCAACTAATTAAACCATATAATCCTAACCCTTCCGTCAATTTGAGTCGTTATGTTTAACAACTACAGCATAACTTGATCCATAACTTGTAGGGCACAGACTTAAAATGTTTAATCTAACAGTAACTTCTAAAGACCAGATTAAATGATCAAAATAAAGATTCAAGGCCTCTCATCCGTGTACCAAATAAATGCCAATATAGATAACAATCAACTTTATTTCAGGATGACCCAAATCAAACGTACACTGTACTGTGAAAGACAAATACAAGCAAAAGAGTAAAGTGAACAACATCAAGAAAAGTACATATCGGCGCTTAATACATGACATGACTACTGCATATGATTGCTCACATGCTTTATTATTGAAGGCGCCCTACAAATCCCTTGGTTCTACAAGAGATGAAATCAAGTGATAATTATGGAGAAACTAGACACAGCGTTTGCGGCGAAGAAATATGCTATATTCACATCTAGTCTTGCCACAAAGTCGAGTCAGGCACTGGACATTAGTAACGCATGGGAAAGGGCAACGTCCTATAGCTTCAGCTTCAGTCTCAGCTGGTTGGACTCTTGAGGCTTCCACCTTTGCTATTGGTCCCCCTATGACCACTGCAAATGAATTTTGCAAGTTCAGTTCAATAGTTTATAGTTTAAACTACACCAATCATATTGGTTTATATGGTTGTTCGTTTTTCATTGTATCTCAAGTTATTTATTTCGAATGCCTAATGTCCCTGTAGATCATGAGCAGTTTCTATGTCTTCACACTAAAATTTTCAAATAAGATTTAGCAATTTAAGATTAAACAAGATTAAACTTAATAATGATCATTAGGCCTCAATAGTTACTGAAGTCCCATGTCAACGTGACTGTGCTTGTTTAGCGTGTCTGTGTGCTATGGTTGAACCAGAAGTTCATGAGATATGCAAAAAGCTCGGTGAGGAAGTCTAACATCTGCGTACAGAATAGAATATAATTGAGAGCTTTTAGAATTTCAGTGGAATATAAAATGATTTCTAAAATCTTATAAGCAGCGGCAAATTCTGCATTTTACAAAGATATGTATATGTAAGAACCACCTTAACTTTCATGGGATGTGGAAACATTTTTCTTTAATTTGTGTGTGCATGCATGAGGGAAAGACTTACACGAAGCAATCACAAAGAAAGCAAATAGTATCAGCTTTTTTGATGCTTTCTCCATTTCTTCTCAATGCTGAATTTTAGAGCTACAAATGACTGGCTAGAGATCTCCTAGGCAAGTCTGATGGTTCAAGTCTCAGTTCACAGAGCGGTATATATAGGGCAGAAAAGTGTGGTTGCTTCTTTTCTGCACTTTCAATAATTATAAATTCGTAGTTGATGCTTCGCTTCGCAGTATATATCACATGGGCTACATCCACTAAAAATAAACCCCATCAGCCATTCTGAACAAGAAACAAGTGGTAGTAAGCAAGACAAAAACCTGTGTGTCAATCCTAGTCAGGTTTTGTGATGGATTCAAATTTTTTTCTGTGAGTAAATATATCGGAATAATGTAGTTCCAATGGTTTGGTTTCCATGCACACAAAAATATATAAGTAGATGAGCTACATCAAAGCAACGAGTTAGCATTACATTTAATAAGTAGATGAGCTACATCAACTAAGATTAGGTCTTAATAGTTATTGAACTCTTCACACAAAAATTTTCAAAAGTAAGGAGTTGTTACGAGTAAAATTTGAAAAGATTTAGCAATTTAAGATTAAATAAAATTAAGCTTAATAATGATGTTTAGGTCTCAACAGTTATTGAACACCGAAGTCAACATGCATGTCCGTGCCTCTTTAATGTGTTTGTGGGCATTGGTGAAACCAGAATTTGAGATTTGCTGGGTATAAGACAGGTAAAAATAGTAGAATTAAGGGGGCACTCTTAAAAAAAAAATTGCAGACTAATTCACGAACGACATATACTACTTTTGTTATAGATTTTTACATGCAAGATTAAAAAGCCATCGATGGAAATTTGCAAAAGTTGATGGATTTAACAAAAAAAAAGGTTCTTTCACTGTGGTCCTCTCAGTAGGTACCCTTATCCATACTATATATATATGTGGCATATAATCAACAATATGGAAGAGTCATTTAAAATCTAGGAAAGCATGCAAGCAAGAAATTAATGTTGTCACCTACCCCCAAGAAAAAGAAATGAATATTGATACGTATCTTCTTACATTTTAATGTAGTACAGCATGATGGTTCCATTTTTATGTATTGATTGCTTCATTAATGTTGACATGGATACGTATCTAACACTCGGGCTCTCACCACCAATTGTTTTGGATAGCAAGTTATTTACATCAATTTATTTTTTGTATTATAAATATACTTTTAATCATATTTTTACTTTACAGGTGTCATATCAAAAAAGTGTCACACAATCGCATCGGCCAGAATGGAATATATTTAATTTCATTAAAAATTGCTACAATATTTTATAAAAAAAAATTATTCTAAATAATCTCCTATCCGACAACACAGTTGCATTGGCCAAAATGGAGTATATTTGGATAAGGGGCAGGAGCGGTCATCAGATGGACCGCTCCTGAGCTGTTCACGGCCAGATTTTAGCCCCAAGAAAATGTACGATCTAGATCATTTCTTGTGCTTCATTTTTAATAACGAGTGTGGGGCCCACAAAAATTTATTCTAAAGTTACACATTGTACAAATAAAGTTACGCTGTGTGCAAAATGCACAAAATCGTGTATATTTTCGTTGGATGAGAGGGCAGCTCCTCTGGCGCGAAAGATAAAGCGCCATATATATCATTCACATCTGATGTGATGTGGCGGTGGAACCCGCTTGATAACATGGCAATGTAATTTTAAACAAATCTATCATTTTGTGGGAAAGGTTTGATAGACAACAATAATTTCATTTTTATTTTGGAATAATTTCACAAACCTCACCTAAGATTTTTACAATTTCACTCGGCTCCTTTTAAGTTTAAAAAATTACACTAACCTCCCTTGGTGTGATAATATGACTATAATGTCCTTCACTTAATACATAATTCACAATACAATGCAAGGATTAAATAAAACCAAGAAAAAGAAACCCTATCTCTTCTATTCTCCATCAACACCATTCTTTCTTTCTTCTTTTCTTTCACTCTTGTAAGCAACGATTCTTTCTTCCTTTCTTTTATTATTTCTTTGCCTTTCCTTTCCTTTTACTTTTTCTCTATATCCACATCTCTGTTTATCTTAATGATGACCTACTATAGCATAACCATCATTGTTTACTTGATGAATATGGATCTATTTTACTTGCTGAAGCAGATTTCACTGTCAACTAAAATGAAATGAATATGTTTGTAGTGATGATAAATAAATAAATAATGCAATTGATAACTAAAACGCATGGAAGATGAGGGATTAGAGGGAAAATTGTTGGGTTGATTATTATCCTGAAAACATGTATAGGATGTTAATAAATGTATTTGATTTTCTTTACTTAATTAATATTGTTGGTTGTGGTTTTGTTATGGATGGCTTTATTCTGTTTTACAATGTTAATATATATTTCTATGGAGGTCGGAGTATTATTCTACTGGTGGTGGTAGGTTAGATTATTATTTATTTTGCGACAGTGCTAGGTATTGAATTGAAATTTAGAGTGTGAGTTTAGTTGTTGGTTATCAAGGGAGAATTGATTTTTCAAAAACATTTAGGCTGGGATGATATTACAAGACATATGTTGGGATTTTTGGAGTCGTTGAAATTCTTGAACTGTTCAAACTATTTGCTTAGTAGGTTTGGCGCATGTTTGGAAATAATTAGATTTTGTGTTGGAATTTGAAGTGTTTGCTTGGTGGTGGATAGGGGTGGCAATCGGGTCGGGTTCGGGTTGCGCGGGTCGGGTTGAGGCTTAAGTATAACAAGGAACCTGCTGACCCGAACCCGACCCGTCAACCCGAAACGGGTCAGGGTACCTGACACGAACCCGAAAATTTCGGGTTGGGGGGTCGACCCGAAACTTAATTTTAATTTATTAATTTATCACTGTAATTTCTAATAAAATCAATTTTTCACAAAATTAATTACATCATCAAGTAATAAAAATTTAAATAAATAATTTCAAACCAAATCTAAAATAAATTAAATACCATAAAAGTGTTTTATCCCAAACCAAATATAAAATAAATTAAAACAGCATAAAAGTAAAAAATAACATAATATATTATTTGTCCAAATATAATAATTTTAACTTCACACAAGTTAAATAAATTCATTTATGATTAAGTAATTAATGCCTTTGGAAAAAAAGAATGATTTAGTTTAGTTAGATAAAATAATTTTAATGTTTATTAAATTAGTTTTAATTCGTAAACGGGTCACATCGGGTCATATCAGGTCACCACGGGTTGACCCGAAATTGACCTGTTTTCTTTTCGAGTTCATCGGGTTCGACCCGATTCTGACCCGAACTCCCGAAACCTCAACCCAAACCCATTAACTTCGTGTTAGGTTCGTGTCGTGTTTTCGGGTCGTGTCAGGAATTGCCACCCCTAGTCACAAGGGCGGGGAATTAACACGTAGGATTGGTTGTCTGCAGACATGAAGTCAAGCATCTAGAAGACCGCCTTCATGCCACTAGCCATTTGGTCCAGTGATCATCACCCTCTTTGGTGATGTTGGAGGTCAGGGGTTCTACCCTACCTCCCTCAAATTTACTACAATATGTGGCTGGTCTTAGTTGACCATCTCCCCTTATTCTTTGCCCTAGATCCTAGCTATATTAGGTTATAGGACATTTATTGTTGTCCCAAAAAAAAAAAAAAGAGCGCCTTCAGGATTCCAATGGGTTGGTAAGCGTACTAAGGACCACGCCTTCAAGAGCCTAAGGTTAAAGGCGCTCAATGCAACATATGTAATGTAGTATACAAGCTAGTGTAATGCCGAGACCCTTGAAGGATCACGCCTTTTGCTCCAATCCAAATCCATTGAACATGAAGCTGGGAATTACTCCCCCGGCTTCCTCAGAGAATTAAGAAAAACTATGTTTTCCGAAACAGAATATTTGTCTGATTTCCCTTTTAAGCAGCCATTTGTTACAAAGAATGACATTGCTCTTGAATCATGCTTCATATTGTACAAATGGAAGGAATGGCAACTAATCATCTTGGTTCTAATGAGGAAAAAGTCAGTCCATTAACTGAGACACTTTGAGCATTGCTTGAGGTTGAGTTGGCCTTGATCACATTTCTCCTTGCTACAAAAGCAGGTTGTTTTGGTGGGGGAAGAGCTACAACTTCATTGCAAAGCATTGAGACAACATTGGACATGGTAGGCCGATCATTTGGATTTTCTTGCACGCAAAGAAGTCCTATGTTGATGCATCTTAGTACAGCAACAGCAGGAGGAGAACCTAGTGATGGATCCAGTAATTCCAGTGCGCGATTGTGAATCCACAAGTCCCAAGCCTGTATTGATCAATAACAGTTTCCATAAGCATGTTTCAATTTTGATTTTCAGCTAGGATTGCGAGGATTCACAAAGAAAAGAGAAACATTTGTTTTTTAAATTTCTTTCTTACATGTCCGATAAGATTAAGGGCGTTGCTGTTATAAAAGCCAGTGTTCTTCTTGCCACTCACTATCTCAAGCACCAAAACACCAAAGCTAAACACATCGGATTTGATGGAGAAAATGCCGTCCAGTGCATACTCAGGGGCCATGTATCCGCTAAATTAGCCATAAACAGGAAATTTGTGAGTAAATCAAGAAGTCTAGCCTTCCATTCTATTATATAAATACATTAAAGGAGTTGGTAACTGGTGCAGTAATGAAGGTTTTCTTTATTACTTACTAAGTTCCAACAATTCTTTTAGTGTTTGCTTCTGAATTATTGCCACCAAATATCCTTGCCATGCCAAAATCTGATATTTTGGGGTTCATTTCACTGTCTAAAAGAATGTTACTAGCTTTGAGATCTCTGTGGATTATACGCAATCTGGAATACTGATGCAGATATAAGAGCCCTTGAGCAATCCCTTCAATGATGCAAATACGAGTCTCCCATTCTAGTGACACTTGTTTCTTGGGATCTGCAAGTAGTTGTTGATCATAAGGAATACCAGAATACAACGTATTAAATAGAACAGATGGGGAAATCATTCTAGGAAGAACACTAACCAAACAGGAAAAAATCTAGACTTTTGTTGGGCATGTACTCATAGACTAGGATATTCTCATCCTGCTCAATACAACAACCTAAAAGTCGGACAAGATTCCTGTGCTGCAGTTTCGCAATCAATAGAATCTCATTTCTGAATTCTTGAAGCCCTTGTCCTGATCTTGTTGAAAGCCTCTTTACTGCTATCTCTTCCCCCTTCAGAGTTTTGCCCTATTTCACAAGAGGAGATAGGGAAAAAAATAAAAAAAGTTGCACACCACTGCTTAAAGTGTTATTCTGTGTGTAAGGTATATTGGAATGCCAAATATTTTCTGAACTTCACAATAGAAGCCCTTCAATTCAAGCATTTGATCTTACCTTGTAGACTGGTCCAAATCCTCCCTCCCCGAGCTTATTGCCTGCTGAAAAATTGCTTGTGGCAGCAGAAACACTTGCATAGCTGAATAAAGGTAGATCAAAATCATTCTTACTTCCTTCCCTTGCATTGTTTACATTCTTCACTTGATTATCTATTGCATGGTTGCTGGAACTAAAATCAAATGATAATAAATCCTGGCTGGAGTCTTTCTTCCCGTGACCTGTTTCCATGATAAAAGAAATATTTACTGTGTCTGCATTTGTTGACAGGTTCTGCAATCGCCAATTGCAACAGGTATATAATTGCTATTTTCTCCTAAACTAATAAGTAAATTAGCAAAAGATATTACTATAACGAATTGATCTTTTTTATTTTTTAATCTGTATCTGTAGTTTTGCCATTGAGTACTGTCCTAATATTAGCAGGTTTTCCACTTCAATCTTGAAGAAGAAAAGCATGCGATTGAAGAGTGTGATCTATAGTATGTTTACCTCTTCTCTTGATCTTCCTTGCTCCGAAAATTAGGAGTCCTCCTAAAGCAGGTCCAACCAATGACACCACCACTGCTACAATTACCATCAATCTCTTTTTGTCACCTGGAATTTATCATAAAAGAGTTATCGTTCTATAATCAATCCAAAAAAAAAACCCCCCATCTTGTAAAGTACAAGTGTGACGAAATTTTCTGCATAAAATAATTTTACTCATAGCCGACACAGACCTGAATCATCTTGAAGTTCAGAGTTTGCAACTTTCACATAGAGATCTTGTCTGTTGTTAACAACATCAGAGACTTGCTTTAAATTCAGTAGAGCTCCACTCCACATTGAGCACAAACTACCAACATTGGCATAAGCTATACAGAAGCAATTCTCCAAGCAAGCTGATTTGCATTCTTCCACAGTAAGCTGCTGTTCTTCCGAGTTATCAGGTGGATTCAAGTTTGAAATTCTTAAAAATCCATGCTTCTTCCCTTTTGGTGAAGTATCGTTTTCGCACAACAGAGGGGCTTTCCTTTCACAACCACGCATTCCACCATTTATCCTGTCATTTTCATTTGAAAATGGAACAAAACCTTGCAAACATGTGCAAGAGGATGGTGAACTACTGCTGGAGTAACTGAAATCCCCACAATATGCGTAAACATTGGATTGTTCCCTAGGTAGAGAAAAAGTTTCACTCCACGTTTGGTGGCAAAGCAAAGCTGTAAGCTGTTTGAGCTGTCCAGATACATCCATTACTAGTCTTGATAGTATGATTTTATTGAAGAGAGAGTAAGTGTAATAGGTCTCATTTGGGGTTGAGACCAGAGTGAATTTAGATGTGTAGCTGAATTCAGGAACAGATGCAAAAACTTCACCTGTCCAGGTTCCAGTACTATTGTATCTTTCAGACATGTTCCATTCCAGGAACAGCTGACCTCCTGATGTATCTTTGTCCATCACAAAGGAGTAAATCCCAGGTGAAGGATCTTCTGAATTTTTCCATGAAATAAGACGTTGCCGTTCCCAAGATGAAGTAGGAAGTATCCTCAAGCCCAATTTGCCTTCAGGAAGCCATGTATCAGTAGGATAATCAAAACTTTGCCAAAAGATTGTAGATGGCTCTGAACTTTCTCTGAGTACAAAGTTTCCAGTGTTAAGAAGCACTGCTTCAATTGAACTTGGTTGTGATAGTACCAAATTTGTTGACCACAAATTTTCAGACTCATCACGCAATACTAGATTGCCGTCCTCAGATATCTCAAGCTTTGAACTCCTGGAAGTGTTAGATATTGGTTTTTCTCTATTTGCTACCCAGACCGTGGTCTTTTCTGCAAAGTCTCTGTACCAGATGCCTACATAGGTGTTGTTAGACTTTCCTGTTGAAAAGAATCCCAACTCAAACGTTCCATCTTGTGATACAATGGTTTGTGATCCTGAAAGACTCTGGCCAAAAGAAATGGTTTCCACTGCAATGGACGAACAAAATTTAACTGCAAAGCATAGAAGCAGAAAATATACAGCAGAAAATATACAGAATACCATGGTATTATAATTGCTTTTCTATATCAATCAGTCTTGATTTGGAACATTTTATACCCGAACTAGAAGTTTTTAAATGTTTTAAACTCAATATATAAAATATAATCAAAACTATGGGGTATCAAGAATCTCGTACAACTGAAGAAAATGTGATGTAACTGACATATATGTTATTTCCATTGACTTCAAATCAAGGACATTTGTCATTTGTGTTTCCCGTTTTCTGAATTTCCAAGTCAAAATTTTTGTGCGGGGGAGGAATATTATAAAATGTATAGTAGATACATGCATGTTTGCTTGGTTACACACTACTTCAGTAGATGCAACAAAATAAGTCCTTTCTTTCTTTTTCTTTTTGTCGGCACAATAATTTCTATTATACACCTATTCCTGCTATACACTAAAGGAAATGAGTGAAACCAAAATGATTAATTGAGAATTAAAAAAGGACTAAATTGCCACTAAATCAAACAGGTACCTTTACACCTATTGATAAAATTTTTAAAAAATTCTAGAAAAAAATACAAGCCAGGGATTAAAATCAAGTTTTTATGAGGGCCACAAATATAAATTTTTTATAATCAAGATTGACCTGTCACATAAAAGCCATAAAACTACGTCGTTTACCGACTTTTTGCGACCGGCACCTATTCCATGGTGTAAGTCATGAAATATTTAAGGTAACCATGCCGTGTTGACCTATTCTAGTCGTGCATGTCATGAAAAGGTCAAAGTAACTACGTCGTGTTGACCTATCCGCTGACTAAGCATTTTTTATTGTTTATTTCTGAAGGACTAAGCATTTTCATTTTGGCCATGAAAGCAAATAACTTAATGTCAAAATCATCTCCGCTTTCTTCTTCGTTTATAATCATAACAGTCAAATTGAATTATGGAAGTCTAATCTTTTAAAGAGATGTCCATTTTTCCTCTAACTCTCTCTTTTACCGCTTCAATTTTAATTTTTTTTCTTTTTGATATTTTTCCTCCTCGTAGTTTTGCATTAAAGCAAGAATTTTGGCACTTCTTTCCTCTAATATTTTCTTTTTTTTTATTATTTTTTGAATGATCAAAATTTTTAGGGAGAAAATGTAGCTCCAGTTTCATCGTGCTCATGAAGAGACCTCCTTGCTCGAACAGCTTCATCATGCTAATCTTGTTAAACTCATAGGGTATTTGCATAGGAGATGATCAGATCTAGAGGCTGCTTGTTTATGAGTTTATGACACGGGGAAGCCTTGAAAAACATCTTTTTAGAAGTAAGTCTGGATATATTTTTAAAGTTTAACATATAGTCATCTCATTACTTGAAATCTTTTCTGTTAAGTAGAATATCTATGTCACATTTTAGTCTGTACATCTGCCAAAAAATGTAACATCTGAAATTGATGGGAGATTCATTTACCATGCTGATGAAATCTGATTGCTTTCCATGAATATGGGCACTATAATTGTTCTTATTCCTCTTCAACACTGCTGTTCCAAACATGTTGGAAAGTCGTGTTAATGTCTATCAAACAGTTTAATAAAACGAATATGAAAGTCAAAGCAGCACAGACATAATTAATCCATTGACAAGGTAGACTCTTGAGTTCTTTGCAGTTTCTTATGAACTTGCTAGGTTCTATTTCCGATGGGATTTCTCTGGTACCCATGACCTGACACCTAGTTCTGGGGCAATGGTGTCGAAAATCTGCCATTATAAGAACTTTACCTGCAGAGATCCATACATAAATTACTCTTGACATTGGCTTACTGCCGTATTGTACCTCTAACCGATCCTAATTTGTTTCATTGAACCAATGCTGTTGTGAAAATAATTCAAGGGAGCATACCTCTCCCATGGTCCAACAGGATTAAAATTGCCCTTGGCGCACCAATATGTGGTTTAATGTTATTTGGCATGAATTATCCTCACAATTGGTGTTGGTACCCCATTTGGAAATGTTGAGGTTGTTTGTTCTGTTTAAGAATATCAGACATGCAAGTAGGTTAGGCAGTGCATTTTTCTTTTTGACTGGAGTTGAGATTATCCCAAGTCTCATTTGAAATTCAAGCCTTCCTTGCGCTCTTACCCTCAGCTGATGTTCCTCTTAGAGTTGTTGCAGAAAGCAACATTGCCTTACCTTGGTCTGGTAGGGTGTATGTTGCTTCCATGTATGGAAATCCTAGGCTACCTACATCTCAATTTGTTGGTCTTGCCCTTGCCCTCTGGCAGGTATCAAGAAAAAGGGAAAATGTATCTTACTTTTCTTGAAAGTATGGAGTTTGAGTTTTTAGTGCATTATATACAAATGTATTCGTGCTAAGTTTTTTTGTGATGCCTTCTCGTTGTTCTGAAGTTTGAACCACCATTTCTCACTTAATTATGTTAGTTTTCACGTGGAATTGAAGCATAAAGTTGGAACTGTTCAACTACTATTTGTATTTTGTTTTGAGAGTTTATTATTCTTTTCCTTGGATAGTAACATGCTTATTGCTTGGGTAGTAGCTTTTGTCCCAATGAATTCCCTTCTTTCTTGGTGGCTGCTTAATTTGTTAGTGTTTGTTGCAAAATTAATTATTCTTTTCCTTTTGCAGGTTTTGGATATTGTTTCTTGGATATGATGGAAGAATTAATCTAAAGCCTCAGCCATGACTTAATCTAGTTCTCAAAATCAAATCCTGGCTTAGTTAATTCATAACTGAAAATTGATAACATGGATTGGAGGAAGTCGTTGAAATTCTTGGGTCCTGAGTAGGGCTGTACACGAATCGAGCCGATCGCGGGCGGCTCGAAGAGCTCGACTTGAGCTCGGTCAATATCGAGCTTGAGTCGAGTTCTAGCTAATCAAGTCGAGCTTGAACTCAAAAACATTAAACTTGTTAGCTCGTGAGTTCGATTATATATTTATATATATATATTTTTTATTTTTTATTTTTATAATAAAATTACATTTATATCCCTAATATTTTATTATTTGTTAAGATTATTTATTTTAAAAAATAAAATAATTTTTTAATTATTTTTTAAGTAATTCGAGTTGAGCTCGAGCTTGAATTTGACATTTTGAGCTCGTCGAGCTCGAGTTTGAGCTTCATAAAATTAACTGGAGGCTCAGCTCGATTAGTCCAAAATTCGATTCGACTTGACTCGACTCGTTTGCACCCCTAATCTTGAGGAATTAAAATCTTGATCTGACCCTATTCATTATTCTATGCAACATTCATCAGATACAAGGACTCCTGGGGTGTATTTCTCTTGAACTTATGGACTTTTAAAGAGAAAATTAGGTTGTTCTGCTTCATTCGTAAATCTATACCATATTTGAACTCTCCTGACGATTAATATTTTGGGATGACTTTTGATCTTTTTTTTTTTTTTGGCTCTTTTGAAATTAATGGTACTTATTTCCTAGAATACAGAGAGCAGTTCTTGTTGAGACTTTAGATTGTTTCTGGAGGAATCATCCTGTAAACATGAATAGGCTCAGTTTAATTAGACTTCAGTGGTAAGCTACTTCCCTGCTGGTTTGACAATTTTGTTGTTTTCTTTACACAATATTCTTATTAGTGGCCTTTCCTGCAGGTGAGTTTCCGGAGTTATGGGCACAGAAATCCACTTGAAGACTACAAAATTGATGGTTGGTGATTCTTCATTACGAAGCTTGGTGCTACAAGAAGGTTAACTGTATAGACTGACTCGAGTCATTCTTTGTTGAAGTTGAAATGGCACTGTTTATTTGTATTTGTGGTATTGTAATTTTGATGAACATTAGTGTGTATTACAAGACTCGATTAGTGTGTTGACTAATGGAAGGTTTCATTCATTAATACTCGAATGAATAGGTAGTTAATTTGCTACAAATGAATTTCTATCTTTTTCTTATTTCTTGATGGACATCAAATGAGGAGGCCTGTGAATGGATTTCTTTTTGGTTTTGGCCTTGCCACAAAAAAAAAAGAAATTAAAAGAAAAAAAAAAGGAAAAAAAAAAGATGTTTTTGTGACTTGCAAGTCCGCTAGCCATAAGGCTTATAGGGTCTAATTCAACTAATAGGTTCCAATAGAATTTGTGACTCATAAAACATGACACAAAAGATCTTTTGTGATTATTATTTGCATGTCACAAATAAATTCTAGTTTTTTGACTTTTTATTACATTCAAAATACAAAGTACTCTTGTAAGTCACAATTGATAATGTGACATTCATATACAAGTCAAAAAAAAAATTTGTGACCATTAAATACATAACTCTCATAAACATGTCACAAAATGGTCACAAAAAGTTTTTGTGACTGTTAGGACCCTTTTATGACTATCATTGACGGTCACAAAAACAACTTTTTCTAGCAGTGTCTGGGGCGACGTGCCACCCAAAATAAAAAAAAAAGTAAAAAAGAATAGATTAGAAGTGAAAAATGAAACAGGGAGAGAGTGCAGCTTTAGTTGTCTCCCGAGTATGGAGACACTTGACTTATGTTGCATTATTGCAGGAACATTGCAATGTAGTTCATTGGTAAGAGATTAAGCAGGAGAACTATATCCTCATTTGGATGTCCTGGTCAGATATAAATATGATCATTGCTGATTGGCCATTTCAAAAGCAATTATACCGTAGCCATTTTTTAAGGATGAACGAGATTTTGAGGTGCCAAAGGCAGTAAAGAACAATAACAATTATTTTATGGCATGGCTAAACTGATATTGGATATTGAAAAGACAGAAGAGAAGGACAGAAATGTTCGTATTCATCTACTAGCAAAGACTGTGTAGCCTACAATATTCTTTATTACCATTTTCTCTGCTACACCTTATATATCACTGGGGGATGGTACACCAGGATAATAGATCACTTTGAAGTCCAAATCATAACATACAACAAAAAGGTGAAGCTACTCATCTTGGTTCAACAGATGAAATGGTTAGGCCATTTACTGAAAACTTTTGATCATTGCTTGAGATTGATTTGGTATTAATCACAGGTCTGATTGCAGTAAATGCAGGTTGCTTTGGTGAGGGAAGAGCTGCAAGTTCATTGCCAAGCATCGAGACAACATCAGACATGGCAGGTCGATCATTTGGATTTTCTTCAATGCAGAGAAGCCCTATGTTAATGCATCTCAATGGAGCAACATCAGGAGGACAACCTAGTGATGGATCGATTAGTTCCAGTGCTCGTTTTGAATTCCAAAGCTCCCAGGCCTTGCATCCATGAATAATAATATTCTTGTGAAACACATGCTGCAACTTTAATTATCATAAAACATTGAAAGGTTCTTGATGGAAAGAAAAATTTTAAATTTGATGCTTACATGTCCAAGAAGGTGAAGGGAGTCACTATTATGAAAGCCAGTGTTCTTCCTGCCACTCACAATTTCAAGCACCAATACACCGAAGCTGTACACATCAGATTTAGCAGAGAAAAGGCCTTCCAGTAGGTACTCTGGGGCCATATAGCCACTAAATTTTGACACACAGAAATAATCGCACAATTAATTCTGGTATATATCAGAAGAATTAGTTGCTCATGTGTGAAGGAAGTAGATTCTTTACTTACGGAGTTCCAACAATCCTTTTTGTATTGGTTTTTGAATCACTTCCACCAAATATCCTTGCGGTGCCAAAATCTGATATTTTGGGGTTCATTTCACTGTCTAATAAGATGTTACTGGCTTTAAGATCTCTATGAACAATGCGCAACCTAGAGTACTCGTGCAGATACAGTATCCCTTGTGCAATCCCTTGAACGATGCTAATACGAGTGTCCCAGTCTATTTGCATTTGTTTCACAGGATCTGCAATGCGTTTTCAGTTTCTCACTAATGAAACCAGAATAAGGTCTCCAAAAGAATTATCTGAGTAGAAGAACACTAACCAAATATGAAAGAATCTAGACTTTTATTCGACATGTACTCATAGATCAGTATACTTTCTTCCTGCTCATTGCAACAGCCTAAAAGCCGAACAAGATTCCTGTGCTGCAGCTTTGCAATTAACAAAGCTTCATTTCTGAATTCCTTCAGCCCTTGTCCAGATCCTCTCGAAAGCCTCTTGACAGCTATCTCCTGTCCCTTTAGGGATTTGCCCTAGTTCCAAAGAGGAGAAATGAAAGTTGAATATGTGTAAGTCTCAGCTTGCAAATAAAGGGGTCAATAACATGGATTGCTGAATTTGTCAGAGTTTTGTTAGCACTTCAATCTTACTTTGTAGACTGGACCAAATCCTCCCTCACCAATCTTATTTCCTGCTGAGAAATTGTTTGTAGCGGTGCACACACTTGCATAGCTGAAAAAGGGTAGAATAAGACCACCCTTTTTTCCTTGCCTAACATCATTTGCATTCTTCGTTTCACTATCTGTTTCACTGTTGCTGGAATCAAAATCATATGATAGTAGATCCTCGCTTGATTCTTTCTTGCGACCGCCTGTTTATCATAAGAAGAAGACAATCACTTTTCTCTGAACCTCAAATGACACGTTTTTCTACACATACCAGTTCGCAATCGCCAACAGATCATTATCATCATTTACAATACTAAATTGCAAATTTAACTGAAACTACTTTGCAAAAGGTAATTGGAAAGGATCTATACATCATTCTTTCTTTTCTACACCATGTACAGTTGTATTGTCCTGGCAATGGCATGTTGCCTGACAAATTTTGGAGAGTTGATATACAGAATTTTTACCTCTTTGCTTGATCTTCCATGTGACGAAAATGATGAATCCTCCTAAAATAGCGGCTGCCAAGGGAACCACCACTGCTACAATTATACTAGATCGTTTTTTGTCCCCTGAATTGTCTTTGTTCCCTGAAACTGAATACAACAATCATAGGTACATAGCCATGAATAATGACAAACATTACGTACATAAAATTAAAATGTGTGTTTTTCATGCAGAAAAGCAACTAAAATTTCTCAAGAAGCGAATTTCACCAGTTGGAGGCACTTGAATCTCAGAAGATGCAACCTTCAGGTGTAGTTTTTTTTTCACATCCACGGCCTGCTTTAAGTCTAATAGAGCTCCAATCCAAATTAAGCAACCGCTACCACCATATGAATAAGCTGTACAAGAGCAGTTCTCCTGACAAGCTGATTTGCAACCGTCCGCATTTTCAACAAGAAGTGACTGTGGATTACCAGGAAGTGTCATGTTTGAAATTGGTAAAAATCCAGCATTTCCCCTTTCTGGTGAGGTACTAGTTTTGCACCGCTGTGGGGTTTTTCGTGCACAGCCGGGAACCCCATCATTTGTGCTCTCAAAGCCTTCCAAACATGTGCAAGAGGAAGAATAGTTACCGGTAAAAACACCAAATTCCCCACAAAATGCATAGACATCAGATTGATCTATTGGTTGAGTAAACGTTAAAGCTGAAGCCCCATAGCCCAAGCCACGCGTAGCTTGTAGCAGCTTTAGCTGTCCAGATGTATCCATTACGAATCTCCATAGAACTACAGCAGACTCAAATGCCGAGTAAGTGTAATATGTCTCACTTTGGTCTGAAACAAAAGTCAAGTTAATTAAATATTTCAGTTCAGGAGCTGAGGGAAACATTGAACCATTCCAGATTCCACTATTCCAATAGCTTACAGACTTGTTCCACTGTATGAGAATTTCACTGCCTGATGTATTTGTGTCTAACACGAGTGAAAACATCCCAGGAGCGGGATCGTCTGTACTTCTCCATGAAACTAAACGTTGAACTTCATAGCTGTTATTGGAAGATAGCATCTTGTAGCCCAATTTTGCTCCTGGCAGCCATGTATCAGTAGGGTAATCAAAACTTTGCCAGAATAAGTTTGACGCATTTGAAGTTTCCCTGAGTACAAAATTTCCGTTATCAAGAAGTACAGCTTCAACAGAACTTGCTGGTGCAGACACCAAATTTGTTGACCATGCAATACTTCCAGAATGATCCAACAATACAAGATTACCGTCCTTAGAAATTTCAAGTCTTGAAGTCTGGGATGTGTTAAATATTGGTTCTACTCTATTCGCTACCCAGACTATGGTCTTGGGTGCCAAACTTGAGTACCAAATGCCTAAATAGACATTATTAGACCGGCCTGTTGCAAAGAATCCCAATTCAAATGTTCCATCTTTTGATACAATGGTTTCATTTCCTGAAAGACTTTGGCCTCTAGAAAGGGTGTCAACTCCTTTGGACAAGCAAAATTTACAGGCAAATAACAGAAGCAGAAGACATTGGGAATACTTGCATTCTTTATCCATAGGACTCTCTTCTTTGAAACATGAATGTCTGATAATCAATCGGTAGAGGGATATAGCCAAAAAGTTGAACTGCTATCAAGAGTCTAGCGAACTATGACCACTATCAAGAGTCTAGCAAACTATGATTAAGAAACTTCAGTGGCAGTTGGAATTGGTGACATTTTTCACTCGGTTTCGAAGCTTCTTTTTTTTTTTTTAATTATTATTATTAAAGCAACTATCAAGTAGTCTCCATTTTCTGTAAGAGAAGTATATTTTGGACATTAGACATGAGCCAATATCCTCAAGAATACTAAAATGGGATGGTTTCACAAACCACCCCGAGGTTTGTCTTAATATTATTTAGCACTCTTATGTTTCAAAAATCTCTTTTACCTCCCCTTCATTGACAATTTTTGTAACACTGTCCCCTCCTATGCATTAAAAATTCATAGAAGAGGAGCGATAACAATTTACTTTCAATTGTACCCTTTTGTTGTCCTTTCCATACATATTAGAGAGCAATTAAGACCAAAATAAACCTAATAAACAAAAGACAAAGTGAGAGATATGTAAGTGTGGCAGATAAGTAGTTTTACAACTGTACAACGATTGGTTCTTCAACTCTAGGATTACAAATGCAGCAAGATAATAACATAAGAAACACAAGTTTAGTGGGAAAATGAGAAACTTAAAGAGGAAATTAGTAGAAGACAATGTAACAGATCATAACAAGTTCTAACATTAGAAGGCAGTCTTATAATATTCATTAATATTATTCAATATAAAGAATCGATATTATATTTACAATATGAAGGTGATAAGTAAGATTTCATAAAGCGAAAGAAATCCAAATACACTATATTTGCTTCTAATGTCTGTTTGATGTACTTCTATTATATTAGGTAATAGTAGTGTCAGAAGTCCCATGCCTTGTATTGCTGTAGGACCATTATGAATTGTAATTTTGCTAATTATTGCCCTAATTTTTCTGTTTTCCAAATTCATTTTTTTGTGCAAATTTTGGTTAATCAATTAGGGGTTTCCAGGCTTTTCTGGAGATTTCGTTAGATCCCCCTGCCTCTAGTATAGAGTAGGAGTAGGTTTAGAATAAATTCTATCATGTACGGAAAAAAATCAGGGTTTCTAATAGGATAATATTACCAATATATCACCCATGATGAAGACAGCTTGTTTTGTCAAAATGACAGGAGAAGTAAGAGAGATTTTTGAAACTACATAAGTGATAAATGATATTAAGGCAAACCTTAAGGGAGGTTTGTGAGGTTATCCCTCCTAAAGTAGAGAGGAGCAAAACTGAAACAATTTTGATCTGATACATCATTGACTTCGGATCAAAGTTTACTTGTCCCCATTTTATAAACTTTTTAAGTCATTGATTATTGTGACATTTTCACTCGGTGCACAAGTCCTTTTAGACACTCGCATCTCTTTTGCAAAAGCTTCCACCTATATATAGCCACCAACAGCAGCTGAACTGCATTTTTTTTTTCAAATCGAACCAATCATAGCTGGCTTCAAGAAACTACATGAAAGACTGAGTCATGGACTGCCTGCAGCCTGCAGGATGAAAAATTAGAGATGACAACGGGGCGGGGGACCCTCCCCCATCCCCAGCCCCGTTGGGTAAACATATCCCCCGCCCCACACCTGTGGGGGAAAAGTTTATAATTGATAAAACTATATAATTAATAAAAAATATAATTAGTAATTTAGTACAAATGTATAATTAGTAAAAAGTATCTAATAGAATAAATGTAAATTAGTAAAAATTGTAAATAGTAATTTAGTATAAATATATTAGTATAAGTAATCAATAATAATATAAATATATAATTATTAGTATAACTAATAACATTAATTATATTACATATGAATAATTTGATATTTATAACTAATAATATTAAATATATTATGTATATAATTAATGTATATATATTATTTTATTTAAGCGGGGGATAGGACGAGGGATGGGGAGGGGGTATAGTCCCCCGCCTTGCCCTACCCCCGCCCCAATTGCCATCCCTATGAAAAATTATTCAAGTCTTCCTCTTCATCCAAGAATTCTCTAATACAATCAGGCCTCATTTAGTCATCTTTACATTGACATTATATACTTTAGGGAAAATCGTTACAAACGTCCCTTACATTTCACAAAATAACTTTTTTTATTTCTCACTTTTAAAAGTGTAATTTTACATCCTTTACAAATTTACATTGGTCAAATTTTGTCCCTCTCTAAATTTCTGACTAGTTTTTGGCTGGAATCCACCACGTGATCATTTTTTAAGGGCAAAATTATCAAATCACATTTTATATAATCCGATTTATAGTCTCTCACATTTCGCAAAATGAATTTGTTCATCCATCATATTTCATAAAATGAATTTTTTCATCCCTCACATTTCACAAAATAAAATTTTCATCTCTCATTAATCATGTGTACAAATAGTATTTTCTTGTTCTTAAAAAATCTCTCATTAATCATGTGTACAAATAGTATTTTCTTGTTCTTAAAAATTCATGTACATGTATATTTGATTTTACTTGAACAGTACGAATAGCATGTAATATATCTTTATCTGGTTTCAACTAAACAAGTTAATTGTAGTTGTAGGTGAAATCAAATAAAAATATATTATATACTATTCATACTATTTAGATGAAATCAAATAGACATATATATGGGTTTAAAAAAATAATTCATACACATGACCAATGAAGGATGAAAAAATTCATTTTGTAAAATGTGAGGGACGAAAAAATTTATTTGTAAAATGTGAGGGGTTATAAATCAGATTATGTAAAATATGATTTGATAATTATACTCCTAAAAATGATCATGTGCAATGCACATAGTGAATTCCGCTAAAAACTAGTTGAAAATGTAGATAAGGACCAAATTTGATCAATGTGAATTTGTAAGGGATGTAAAATTTCACTTTTAATAATGAAGGAAGAAAAAACTCATTTTGCAATATGTGAGAGATATTTTGAATTATTTTCCTGTACTTTAAACAGTTTTTTGGACGTTAGACTCAGAACAGCAACAGAAGGATATAGCTGAAAACAACTGTGCCTGGATATTTTTCTGCAACCTTTAGGTTGACACATGACTATGCTTTTCAAGAGATATATATAAAGCACACTATTTTAGTCAAGTTCATTGACATCTGTTTTGTCCTTACCATGGAGACAAATGACTCCTTTGCTGTATAATCAACAAGTCTAATGTATACGTCAATGGTACATAATTTTGAGTAAATCCAACATAAATGTTTAAAATGATTAAAAAAAAAAAGGAATAGCAATAATCCTACCAAGAAGTTTAATCTTGGACTTTAGCCAGTTTTAGATCAATCGATGAGTTAATTTCCACCGGAAAATCTATCTAAGAATCCTAGCTAATAATGGATGTCACCAAGTAATTTGTTTGGATTGAAAATTGCACGGGAAAAGACTTTTAGTTACTGTCATACTTCTTGTGATATGGTATATATAAAATTATAAGGTGATAGAGTAGCGTATTTATGGCATCTCCAAAATTTTTTTCTAAATAATTCCTCCAAAACAGTTGCCCTAGATATGTAGCGTATGTCAAAAAGAGTACTTTTCTTTAGTCAATGGTCGTCCGATTTTGCTTGTACTCCAAGGCGGTGGTAAGAATACATTGTGAAAATTCTAAGCTTATATCGTTGTGAAAATTCTACACTCCGGACGACTAGAAAGTGTTTTTTTTTTTTTTTTTTGCCCTTCAAAAATCTGATTTTTAGCTTGGAAAATTTCGAATTTAATCAAAGAAATTGCCGAGCAGTTGTTCTTGGTTCCCTACACATATATACCACAACATTATTGTCAACATTTGTTCTTGATTGCCTACATAATCCTCATCCTCTGAATTTTCAGCTAATTAATACTAGGAAATAGTGCGTGTGTTTCCATTTTCTTGTTTTGACTTCACATTTCTATAATTTTTTGACAGGTTGATCGGTTAGATTTTACAATTGGGTTAAAAACAAAAAATCCCCCTATAATATACCTAATATACAAAAAGCCCCCGTGATTTCAAAACATACAAAATGATACCTCATGTTTTGAATTAAATTGTAAATTAACAGCATTCATTAAAGTTAACAAAAATAATGGTTTCGACTGTTAAACTTACCGAATTCTGTTAAATTTACCGTTAAGTTTACCGGATTCCGTTAAGTTTAACGAATTATGTTAATTTACAATTTAATTCAAAACATGAGTTGTCATTTTGTATATTTTGAAATCACGGAAGACTTTTCTGTGTCTTAGATATACCATGGGGGGCTTTTTTATTTTTAACCCTTTATAATTTGATTTTGTTGGTTGGAAAATCAGTTTAGTTGACCACAATTATTATAAAGAGACATAAAATATTGCGCTTCCAGAGAGAAATAATTAAGTGGACTATTAGTGTTTAATTAGTACCACCCATAACTTAAGATTAGATTAAGTTTATGGAATTGAGTTCAAGATATAAGCAGTGCTAAATTTTGGTAAACCATTTACTGAAGCAGTATCAACTGACGAGTAATGGAAATGTTTTATTAAAGGAATGTATAAGATATATCGGTGCTCAAATCGATTTTAACTTTCACATGTCCTTTTATTCAAGGATAATGATTTACAATACCAACACGATGGACTGCGATATATGAATCATAATTTTGTAATTTTCTCTCTTATTTATCTTTACCTGATTTTACTCCCACGATCCTTGATTTCTATTTCAGTAAATTATAGGTTATTTAGATACGTTGTGATTTTTTTGTCGCTTTTTTGTGGCAATACTCTATATTTAATATTTTTTTTTACCTTATCACCCCTAGAAGTGTAAACGAGTCTAATCAAGTCGAATATTCTAATGATTAAATTTGTTTGATTATTTTAACAAACTTAAAATTTTGCTCAAAATGGACTTTTCTATTTGCTGAATCGAGTTTGAACAATCTTTTTATTGAGTTTAAGTA